AATGAGCTGTTAAGAGCAAACTAACCCCGTTGCTCTCAATGCTTCAAATAATTTTCTACGAATTGTTAAAATAGTTCCTCGTAATGTTATACGTTTATTTAGATTTTTCATTTACGACTGAATACAGGTAGTATATACGGTATAGGAACTAGACATTTAACCAGCTGGTTAAAAATAACTCAAAACTTTGCTTGTAGAAACATTTATTTGATAGTTTCAATCGCTTTCTCTTTCGGACAGTATTTCATTCACTGCACGTACGCAAGCTCCAGATTTATGAATCTGATGTTTCCAGAAAGACACAGCTTTTAGTTGTTTCAATTCTGTCCACCTACTTTCAAAAAGTGAGATACGAACAATTGCCGGATTAAATACAATTAAACTAATAGAGCATAAATCAAGGTTAAAAAATCAATAAAAAGTTCTAAATTATATCGCATTAAATCTGGTTAAAATTTCAGAGGTTTAACAAAAGTGCTTTGTCAATGGAACGATATTTCTGTCTGAATTTCCGGCGATTTTGTTTGTTATGTACTTTATGACGTTCGCGCAATTATTAACGAAAATTGGATACACGCACTAGCTTTCTAGGAGAGTGCAATTACGAATCTCATTACGAGCTGCATATGCTTTTTTCTAAACACCTGGGAAGCCTTGGTGCGGAAAAACATCAAGTGACTGTAAGTGCGAGCAGAGATTTAACACGCAAACGCCTCGGTAAGTAATCATAGAAGCCCGTAAAATTGTCAAAGAAATACAAATCTATGTGTAATACATAAATTATCTCGCGCTCAGTCTATTTCGCAGTACGTAACAATTTCGTGTCTCCTAACTCAAAGTAGTTGAGTCTCGTTTCTATTTATTTCGAATAATTACTATAGCACGGTTGTTTATGCAAACGTACATTTTTAGGAATTAACGAAATGAAAATTACGCAGAGAACTCTGTTTAATACAATCTTCGTTGTCGTGTACATGTGACTTGTGACATTAAACGTCGATTTAAAAAAGAGATTAGGAAAGTAAAAATACTCGCTGATAATTTTCTTTTAAAAAACAAACAGATTTCTAGTATCAGAGAGTTAACAGAATTGAAATCGTGTAGTAAATTTCTCTATCAGCGGAACTTTTATCGCCATACAGCCTCTATCATTTGTAATATGTAAATCGTTTGTTAACGACAAAAAAAGAAGGGATGTTTATACGCTTTCCATATGCCCGCATTTTTTCCGCGCGCGTGATACTTTTTAACCGCATAATTGGCATAATGGCCAATTTGGAGTCAGAATGGAGAAACCTCTTCGGTACATGCACCGTAGATAGGTCCTTGTTACAAATAGTATAGCAGTGCTGTTTGCAGACAGTGACGCGGTTTTGCCAGCATGTTCCGCGGTCGCATATTTTTCACGTCACGTTTAACCCTTTCAGCGGTATAGCCGTACATGTATGCTCGAACATATGCAGGTCAAATAGAATGACTAATTTCGCCATTTATTTGTGATCTTGTTTCTGTTGATGGATAATAAATATGAAGACAGTAATAGATATTAAATCCTTTAAAAAAGAAAATTTAATTGCTCGATACTTGTTATTTCTGCAAGAATAAGAATATTTCTGCAGGAATCACTCTTTACCGAATCGGAAAAAAGTATGTGAATGAATCCACGAATGCGCAGCTTTTCAGAAAGTATGAAAGGACTGGAATTGAGAAGGAAATCGAGTGAAAAAGACAGATAAGAAAGAATTTCAATGTTTCATTTTCTCGGTAAAAGGAAGGAATTTTAAAGTTTAAATATGAGAAAATGTTTTTCACATGGGAAATAAAAGTACATGAAAACAAAAACAATATTACAATATATAAACTGTTCCAGTTTTCTTCCGTCAAACTAGGCTTCTTTATTCTATGAGCAAAGATAAGAAGAAAAAATGTAAACATAGGATCATAAAATGTAAGAACTGAACTCGTGATCGTGAGTTTTTTTTTTATTTGAAAATAACTGTCTCTCCCAAAATTTCGAACCATTAATGAACTGAATAATTTCGTATAACACACGATTCGTTGAATACTGGTTGTAATGGATAAGTAGAGCTGCTTTTCAAGAAAGGCAACCGAGATTTCCATAACATTCTTAGAAGGTCTGAAAATGTCAAGAAAGGACGAGAAATGTCGATGAATGGGTGGCCGTTAGTTCAACATCGGCGCACAATGTTCAGCTTTTGATCGCATATAGGTGTTATCCTCCCTTATATTCGACCTATTTTTGTGAAGGCGACTTATGATTTGACTTTGAGAACATCTACTAACTTTAGAACGCGTGGTACTTCATGGTAATATAAAAAGATTTTTCGCTAGAGTAAACGTCTTTCCTGAACAAAAATACACATTCTGTACTTGCTATCAATCACAATCTAAATACCAAAGAATCCGCTTTGTTAAAACAGGTTTATGTCTTAAGATTACTTTGAATCGCGTAGCAACGTTCCTTTCACCAATTTTGTATTAGAATGTACACGTATATAGATCATTATATATTTAAACGAAAGATTGTATGGATACGTAAAGACACAAATTTCTAGATAAAAGATGATTAGACTACATTTAATATGTATATTTCATTAACTTTGAGATACCAAACTGACCAAAATGAAGCATTGCAGATTTTCTGTCTTTTACAATTACCAAAAGTATTCTGTTTGTGAAATAATTGACATTTATTAATAAATTCTTAACACAATAACGCAAACTCTTAGCGAATCGATCATTAATTGATTCTTTTAGGCCGCTTAATTTTATCTGTAGTTATTCTATAAAAGTAATGTTTTAATTGAAGTCATTCGCTTGTTTCACCAACGAGCACAAGTTGACGTTATTCAACGTTAATAGACGCCATGGCACTGGGACGTTAAAGGTGATCTAGAACACGAGCGACAGAAACGATGTCGATGGCATTTATACATATTCAAGTATACCGTCTTCGGAATACGTTGTGCTTGATACAAACAAAGAAGGCGTAAAACTGGTCATGCCATTCCAATCCGGTCGGTATTACATAATTGCTAGATTTCTTTCTGTGCCAGTCTCAATGATAATCTTTATACTATACAAGAAATATCACGAGGTGTTCTTTTTCGTAACAATTTTGTTTTTGGATTGAACGAGGCACTGTTTGATTTGAAAAATATTAAAAATATGACATTTTCATCTATATCAGAAATTTCACCTGACGAAGTTAGTTGTTAGGTGGACGGACATATTAAACAAACATTTTTGACGCAATTACTTTGGGCAATCGTTTCCATAATCTAGGTTGATTCGATATCGTACGTGTCCGATTACTTTTCTCGAGGCAGGAGAAATCGGGAGAGATTTGCTCTTGCGGAGAGTTCTTGCTCGGCGAGCAATTCGATTTCGATCAGATATTAAACCATATTAAACGGTGTTCACGAGTCTGGATTACTTTGCCATCGAATTGACGAAATGTTCAATATAATGCCGCTGAAGATGATATCATCTTATCGTTATCGTCTTATTGCTTCTATCACATTACCCAAGTTTAAATAGTTCGAGCAGAAAAGGCCCGTCGTTTCGTGATTTCCTCACAAGACAATTAAACGATTCATAACAATTTTTATATGTATGCTACCTTCTCGCTGACACAAACAATCCTACCACAGAGTCACTCGAGTCATTATCCTAATTTTAGTATCTTTTCATCGTAAACCTGACCATATTTTTTCGTTATTATATATATATATGTCTCATTACATAAACAAGCTTGGTTATTCTGCCTAAAGTTCAAGATGAATTTTAAAATGTTAAAATTTAGCTGGTTCTAATAATACTTTCTTATTCTAACGTAATCGTTTTATTTTTCAAGTTTATGACCGAATTAAACTTTCATCGTAAATCTGTACGAAACAATCAGAAACACCATCAAAGTCACTTATGCTTCCCTCTGTTTTTGTAAGCAACTCTGAACGACGGTAATTTCAGAGGTACCCAGTTCTTGACTGCGGAGCCGGGATGAATTATTCAAGATCGATTTGTGACAGATAGTCATCTGTATCGAAAGTTCATAGCATAGAAACTGATTGGAATGTCAAGGATAAGCACTGTATGTTGTACCGGAAATTGAACTGAACAGAAGGAATATTTTTAAATCGCTTTTACATTAAGTTTGCACTTAAGTATAATTCGTTTTTGATATATTTTGTTTAATGGTATTATATATACGATTATATATATATATTATACATATTATTACATATAGTATACATACATATAGTATAGTCTCTCGTGGTATCTGACAACAGTTCTAAGAATTCCGTTATACTACAATAATCAAACTAGCAACGCCTCGACTTTCTTCAAAGTAATATATCGATCTATCTAGAACTGCAACGGCTTTGCGAACAAATATACACTTTAGGCTCGTCGCCACCCTCTTATAAGTAAAAGGGTATTATTATGCATAATCATGGAACAATCTGCATAGTAAAAAAAGGTTGTTTAAAAAGGCATGCTTCGTAGAGAAATACTCAAACAAGCTACGATACATATGCGTGACGATAAAATATTCATAATACGAATGCATCTCTTGTACGATAACATCAGTTTTTATTGCTAGATACGAGAATAGGTGACAATTTCTATCTAACATATTTCATTACAGAAATGTTTAATGAGGCAATAAATATAAAAACATAGATACGTGATAATATAAAATGGATATGTGTATAATATCAATACTGTTTTCCTTACAATTCAATTTTCCTTATATACAATTAATTAATGTCAAATTTATACTTTTGTAAAAATGATGAAAAATACAGATCTTTCCTGGGTAAACAATAGTGGTTAGGCGAAGCAACCAAAGTAACAATAGAATGAACACACAATTATTTTCGTTTCACCCGATGATATTTCATACGTTAAAGCGGTAGGTTCGTCTTGTAGTCTGTTGCTTTGCAAGCCGTTTGAAATAATTTGAATCATCTTACCGGCTACGATCTACGTAGGCAGTTTTACGACGCACGAGACCTTGTTGCTGTTTCGTGGCAATTCCAGGCTTCTCTCCTTCGTGATACTTCGGACCCTTGTGGAGATAACACGATAAAATGGTAAAGTAGGTAAAGTACGTACGTAAATACGCGAACTCGTGCACGCGAATTGAAACTGTGGCCAGTGAGTAATGCAATAACGAATCTGACGAACCGATGAGAGTAGCTTTTTCCTGCAGTTTTCAAAGACACCCACCTTTTTTTTCACAACACACGACCGAATTCTAGTTTCTACGACACTTGGTCTCCACTCTTCTCGCCTATCCCCTCCGCTATCCTCTATGTACACGCATAATTTACCGACGACACGGCTAACGTGAAACACTCACGCATCCTGTGAACGACCAATTAAAAAAAGGCAATTATATTATTTCGATAATTTCAATAGTATTTATGGCAATGTGCGACGACATCGAGGGCAGACGGAATAAGGAGAAACAGAGCACGGGAGGGTTATGCATCGTCGATAAGCCGCGGTCAGGCAATCTCCTCTTTCCGATCTAACGTTCCGACGATCAGGAGTCCCGTACAAAAGAAAGGAAGAAAATAAGAAAAGATAAGATTCAAATTTACCGAGAATCATCCCTATTTTCGTTAGATACTACGACAGTCCGAATTGTTCTACGTTCTGAATTCTTCGAAGCTGAAATTGTTCGCAAAAGTGCTAGGAGTACACTCGAGGTTTCCTTTATCTCTGTTCCTTCGTCTTTTTTTCCCTTCTTTTCACCAGGGACTAGCCCTGTTCGTTCACTTTTTCGCCATTTCAAGAACAATTACACAAGTCTCAAAGGCAATTAGCCTGGCACTCGAACATCAACGGGAACCATACCACTATCGCGCCCTACCTCAAACCTAAACCGTAGTACTCCGCGGCTTAGACGCCACCTCTCCCCCACCCCCACCCCTTCTCTCTTTATCTCTCCCCTTTTCTCACTCTATTCTCTTTGTACTCGTCTGTGAAGGTACGTTAACGACAACAACATCGGCGTCGATTGTTCCGACGAACGTCCTGACGCGCCTCATTTTTGTCTCTCCGTGAACGAGCGTGCGTACTCGCTTCTCTAGGTGACCATCATCGTCGAGGACACACAACGAACACTCTCGCTTCCTGTCTGTATTCGTTGTCCTTTCTTCCGACTCATCGACATTGTACGCTCATACGTACAGAAATTGATCGCACTTACAGCGATCGAACCATAATTCCTGATTTTACGTGTCGTTACAGCCAGAGAAAGAGACAGACAGACAAAGAGAGAGAGGGAGAGAAAGAGAGAGAGAGAAGGAAGGAAAAGTGATTGATAATAATAAAAAAAAGTCAGAATTACAGGGAGAAGAAAAGGGAGAAGTAATTGTAGACGAGTGAATGGAAAAGCATAAAAGAAGAAAGGTAAACGAAAGAGATGGATGGATAAAGCGAGAGGTAAAATAGAGGAGAGAGGAGAAAGAGTAAAGAGAAGAAAGTACGAAGGGGAAAGAACAAATAGACGCACAGAAACGATTTGAAAGGAAATCTCTATGGATCTATACGCAACTCTATCGAACGCGTGTCTTTGGTAGCACGTACGAATGCGGCGGAGCTACTAGCTAGCGCGAGGTAAAAGAGACGAAGCGAGGTTCTCCCTGAAGCTGATCCTGCGTGCTAAACGAGCCGCCTCCGCTGCCACCCGGCCCCCACCTTTTCCTTGTCCGTTCCCCACCAACCCCCAGTCCCAACTTCGCGCATCCCACCCACAGCATAACGGCGGCCTCCACCATCGTCACGACCCACCGCTATTCTAACCTCTACCGCATCCACCACCGACGGCGCTGCTCGCTACGTTACCGTTTTCTTCCTTCGTTGCCTTCTTTTCCTTCTTCTCCTCCTTTCTATATCTTTCTCCTTCCTGTTACGTGCTCATCGCCGTTTACATCATTACGTGCACAGTTTTATTTTAAATTCTCATACACTGATTTCTTGGCGGGAGAACAGTCACAGAAAAAAACAAAGTACTGTTCGTGGAACCGTTCACCAACTGCACGTAGCCAAAGAACGACAAATGTGTAGTATTCGTGGTTTCGCGTTTTATATTTTTCACTTCTATGCTTTTCATGGATACAACGAGTTCATCTTTTAGTGTATACGATACATAGACGTTCAATTTTTAACGCATACAGTGTATTGACATTTAGGAGTGCGTTTTTCTATTTACACAAATAGATAAAGCTAGCGACGCTTATTTTACCCTGGAAAATTGCTCTTTCTTCGTGTACACAGATAATATTTATACTAGTCATCCACGTGTATAATTATTCATAACTCCTTCTTGTTACATCTTTATATCTGCTTGCTGTTATTAATTTTTATTACTTGAAAATGACTAAATTATTAAATTTGTTTTACAAATAATACAGTCGCGTAAAACAAGCAATTGACAAATCATTTATGCACTCAGAATTAAATATAAAATCCCATAATCAGTGATATAATTAAAACGCGGGTGTTTTTATGTAAATACGTTTCCGAGTAAATTTCGAAATATTACACATTCTCCTTTCACTCTTTGTTAAAGATCGAAGAATTCGCAAATTCTTGGAATGAATGTACCTTTGTGCATGAGGACTTAACGTAGCAATAAATCTTTATTGAATGAGTACCGATTAAAGCGAGTCAGCTTTGAGCTGGTAGACCGCTTGTTCGAATACTGTGAATTTAAAACGATAAAATGGTACTAATATCGATTAACGACTCGTTAGTGAAAACTGTAGGTAACGTCAATACGAGGTACGAGTAATCAGGTCATGGATACTGAAATCGACTGGGACAGAGTCGCTATTGTTTCTCACTCTTTATATTCTCTGAAAGAAGGGAAGAAAATTGTGCGTTTTGTCTATAACATGTATGCGTGATTTTGGCTTTGAGAGCAACCACAAGAAGTATACGCATCCGTTCGTTCTGCAAATTGAAGCGTTGAAAAACGAACAAAGACCGTGCTCGTTGCGTTACTGATAAATTCGTACTGTCATTTCTCTACATACTTCTAAACTAATAAATCTTCTTTGCGAACATAAAACTTTTATAGCTCTGCTATCATTGAACATCTTTGAGTTTTTATAAGATTCTCATATATGAGATGTCGTAGTAAACACGATGAAATCGATAAGATCATGAGTTCACGTGAAGATATGGAATAAAGTTTTGTTATATGACGCTTTCCTTTCCTTTCTTTCTTTTTCTTTTTTTTTTTTTTTTTTTTTTGCAAAATTGAGAGTGCAAATTTGTTGAGATTTTCCAAAATGATTTAAATCCATAAGAAAATATCGGCCAGGTTAGATAAATGTTCCAGTAATACGGAATCTTTAACACAAAATCGCATATATAAAGTATGCCAAGTATTCTACATTTTTTAGCTAGATGCTTAGCTGTCTATTGTAGTTGACCTTCTTCTTATTGTATTTATTGGTGCTTAACGTATCTTTCAATACCTTTACTGTCAAAAATCACGATGAAATAGCCCCTGCAGCTATTATCGTGAAAGCCAAAGCCATTTGACCGCTGTGCTGCTCAGCGTACATTCTGCTTTCGGCGAAAAATGGAGTAGAATAAAATTTTCCACATGATTTAAAATACATTATTTCTTTTAGAAGCGAGGCATTAGCAGTTACAAAATTCAATGTATTCTTAACGGAATTATTCTTTATTAAATTACTGTCTTCTTTTATCAATTTATTGTAATCTTTGATTAAATTGACTATTTCCTTTGCCGTGACATTATATTTAATTTAGTTTCGATCAAGTATCTCTTGATAATAATATAGAAATTCTATTTTTCTCTACAACTCTGCGCTCAAGTCCATTAATCTCTCATACCGGAACATCACAACAATTACAGTGCACCACAGCTTTCTCAGCATCCTCTGTGTCAAATTAATGATCGAACTGGAAGATAAGCTAGTATAATGTTAAATAATTGCCTGCAAGGATCCATTTCTGCGAGAAACCTTATTGTTATTAAGAGTTAATAATAAGTTACAGTTAAATATGTTCAAATGAATTGGCAAGTTCCTAATTTAAAATTAACTAACTTTGACGCTAAGAACTACGAGAAGCCGATGATTATTAACTGATTGGAGAAATTTCTGAAGAAATTTTCTGGATAACTGTGCTGCAGAAATGTACAGTAAAACGTGAAAGAGAAGAACAAGATGCTGAATTTCGAACAAGTTGGTTGTAATTGAGGTGAGCAATGCTCCATTGTACATGAAATTAAGATGAGAACTTCACAGTTTCGTGTGAGATAGAACTTTCCGAATTAAGTGCCTACAATACGTACAATCCTATAAAAAGTTTTAGAACGATTTCTACATTTGTTTCAAAACTATCAGGAGTTAAAAAACCATTTAACTTGATGTGACAAAGAATGCACGGCTGTCACCAGCAGCGAGATTGTTCTCCTAACAATCTTCAATGAGAAACCTTTGTAAGTGTCTGTCGTCGATAACTAACGTTCCCCTGCGGTTTATGTTAACTGATTTTGCAATTTACGATCATATTGGTCGTTGTGACCAGTGCTCAAAACAAAATCGATCGCGGCCATTAATGGTTACGATGATTGGTTACGTCTGCGGTCTGCCTAGGGATCGCAAGTAGTTCAATGATGCATTGTCTTAAGGTTGTCCGCAGACTTGGTTACTCGTGACCATCAGTGGTTCTGACTAGTGGCCACAATTACCGATGACTACCGGTTGCTTGTCTCAGCCAATGATCGTAACGATTAATTCGATAAAACTGATTTCTAACAGTGCTTATAAGGAGAACTTTCAAAACCGGGAAAAAACGTGACATAGTCGCTGAAGGGAATTATTCAATGTAGCATTGCATTTTTTAAATATCTATGTAATAGCATATAATTATAGTATTAGTTTATTTAAATAAAAATCGCCTTACTTGTAATTTTTAGATAAATATGGATCTGCACCTGTCGGTCATCCGGAAGAGTCAGGTACGTTGGACGCAATCAAACACCGAGTCGAGTCCTTCATCTCGCGTATCTGGATCTTTCGTAATCCAGAACGTTCGTACGAAGAAAAATACTTTCCGGATTTCGCTCGATTTTTCACTTAATATTTTTTCAATTCGATACGAATAATCTCGTACTTTCGGAATGAATTCGTACATTTCCCATTTACATAATTATTAGCTAAATTCTATTTACAGGAAAATCGATACAACAATTAAACTCCTTCTTAAATATTTATTTATAGTGACCTTAATATCAACATATCTTTCTTATTTATGGAATTGCTATTCCATTATCGTCAATCTTAATATCGGACACAGGTCGATAAAACGAATTTTTGCAATATTTTCGTTTATTCCTTGAAATACTGGAGACATTTGAACTGAACTGAGTTAATGTAACAACGTATACGTACATAAGGTTCAAATGCTTGTCGATAAATTCAACAAGAATTTCGAGAAGTGCTACAGTTCAAGTGAAATTCTTTGCATTGATGAATTACCGATAAATTCCATCGCAGTGGGGTCGTAGACATACATGTAGACAGTGTGTGAAATACAAGAAACATAGATACGACATTAAATTATGCAAGTTCTATAGCTACAACACTATGGTTCTGCACAAACGATAAAACATTCTACAGTAAAAAAAGAACGTGTAATTGCAGTTTCTATATTTAAAAACTGAATAGAAAATTCCTAAATTCCACTACCAAGGATTTTCAACTCTCAATATATTCACCATTGAGAAACAGGCTTTTAAAATTGTGCGTAATCAATAACAACCTGACATTATCGATCGTCTTCATTATTTTAAGCTTCTGTAGCATTGTGTTGTATAAACGTGTATGTTAATTGCAGACGTTAAGTGTTGAACGTACCAAGTTTTAGGCACAGATGAATCTCGTGACGTCACGAAAAATGCATATCGAGTAGCGTACAATCCGGTTATTTTCGTGTTTATCGTGGTGAAACGCGAGTTTAGGTCGCGTGTCGTACGAAATCGTACAATATACCTATGTATATCCACTTGCAAGGAAGGTGAAAGCCTTGACGCGCTCGTTGTAAGAAGAAATTAAGATCGGCAAGTTGGATAATGCCTGCAGCGACCCCCGGCATTTCAAAGGGCAACTAAAATCCCTTCGCGTGTCACACGGTCTCCAATATCATCAAACTTTTACCGTTAACTAGCTGCTACGCGTACAAGTGTCGGATATCAATTAAAGAAGATCGTTGTTGTCAATTCGTTCTTATTTTATGAATTTCCACAA